AATTATATCACTTATAATTTCACCATCAGTTTTAGAAAATAGGTCATAGGAAAGATCCTTTCCGGGCAATCTCCTTTCCAAAGACGATGAGAACTATTTTTCGTATGGGCCGAACTGATTGCCAAATAATTTTTTCTGAATTTTCCTACTCTGATGATGATTCACTACTAAATTCATCGTCGTTTTCAATAATATTTATACGTCGTCGGGTAAATACTATTGGACGATCTTCATCGGACTCTAAGAATCTAATAAAAAATCTTCGGATCTATAACCATCAATGAGTCTTATTCCTCTTTTATTTTTATGTGATTTTGTATCCATATTTTAGCTTCTGATAGAAAAATCTAAAAAGCGAAGAGAGTATATCGCAAATATACCGAAATTTTCCGTAATAGCTCATTGTGGCCTGAAAGTCACAAAGTATATCATGTGCAGATAGTAACAAAATAATTATTGAAATGCAAACAAATAAGTTATTGTTGAAAGCTGTTATGTACATGTTTTTCTTGTTTAATAAATACCGATAGAAGCACAAATAATATCAGTTGCAGAAGATGGTTCCGTTGGTTTTTAACTGCAGACAACTTACAAGATATTTACTTCGATATTTCAGGTTAATAGTACTGCTAACTGTGATCGATATTGTTATTGATTATTATACGTCTTATTATATAATAAGACGTATACACCATCTTGTGGAAAGACTTATTCGATGAAATGTCGATATATAAGTATGTGACCTGAATTAATAATAATTAACTCGTGTTTGTACTTGCATTAGTTATTTCAATTTTTGACACTTATTGTTAGGGTAATGCAGGATATTGTGAGATCTTCGTCGTGTTCAACCGTGTTCACTTTACTATAAAAAAAATTATTTTTATTAATACTTAGGTTTCTATCGCGATCTTAGTGTTACAAAAATTTCAATCATGACGGATCGTGAAGAACTTTTCAATGAATTACATATGCAAACGCTTTGTCTGATTCGAGTGATTTTGAAATATATTGCAGTGATGTGGAAATTGATAGTTTATCGGAAGTTATGAATAGGATATTAGACCTTCAAAACGGCAAATTTGCAAAACCTGTTGTGTACTATTACACGTAGGTGATTGCTATATA